CAGTGTCACCGGGGGTGCCGGCCAGCAGTGAGGGCTTCGCCCCGCGCACCAGCAGCTGCCCACGCCCCCAGCCCCGGCTCGCAAACCACCGGCTCAGGCCCATCCACTGGGAACCACCAGGAAAATTAAGATATGGCCTTTTTTTTTTACGCTTGCCTGACAGCGTTGGCACGCTTCCTTACAGTCTCCACGCTGCTGGAAAAACTTCTGCACAGGTCTGTTGCTTTAAATCTATACATATACATATATATACACGTGTGTGCGCGTATGAGACGTGCGTACACACACGCGCCCCCGGCTTAGCGGTGTTCCGTGGTCATGCACTACCAGCGGTCGGGCGCAGCTACATGAGATGGTAACAAGTTTCCGTTCTAGAAATCGTCAGTGCAAAGAACAATGAGGTTTTACAGGTCAGTAACTACAGGTAAAAGCGAGTCGAGTTCCCGTGAAAGCTGCTACTGAACTGGGAGAGAACCTGGGAAGAAGAAAACATCTCGGAGGGAGTCAGACCCTGCGTTTGGATGAGAACTGCGATGCAATCTAGCTACTGAGAACCTTCAGCGGCTTCCACACGTACGGCGGGTACTTTGGGAAATAATGGATAGCGAGAATATTTGTAGATTTAACAGCAACTTGTCTGAGGTGTGTAACAGCTCAAACAAAATAGCTTGTATTCCTCTTTTAATAGGTCAACACATTAAATTCCATCGGCTTCTAAAAGGTCTCTTTAAAAAATAACAGTAATAACAACGACCCCACTTTTTGGGCGTGAATCTGCCGATATTCTGCCTCTACCACCAGCATCGATACATCCTTCTGCTTTGCCACTGCGTGTGCTCCTTGGGGAAGCGGCTGAACTCGAAGCTCTGTACAGGTAAAGCGCTTGGCTGCTCTGCCTGGCACAGCCCGCGGTACGTCCCTCGTTCGGGGCCGTCTGTGCTGGGAAACGGCACGCGTGTACCGAGTCCCAAACCCACCCTCGCCGGCACCCGCTGAGCGCCTCGGTCTGACTCCCGGGATAACCAAGAAGGAGCTCCCCAGGCCCTCTTCCTGCGGCTCCGAGGACAGCGCTCGGTCACGCGTATCGGAGCGATGGCTAACAAGGCGAGGAGGCACGTATTTACAGTCACTAAACCTGGATAAGAGAAGGAGGCAGGGGAGAGCACGATCCTGACCTGGAGACTTTTCCCCCCCACCCGATTTCCAGCTGTTCCTCGGGCTTGTGCTGCACAAACCTGACGCTCCCGCTGCAAGGCCTGCACGTTCTGCGTGGGAAACATCCCGTCTCTTCCCAGAACACCACGATGTTATTAGAGTAGCACCATATTTACCCTTCCAGCCCGTAACGCCGGCCTCGTCCCTCTTCCCTTTTGTTTTCTCCTCCGATGGCTGCAGCCGACAGTCGCTCCGGCCCGGCTACTTCTGCCCCAGGAGGCCAGACTCCAGCCGGGATGCCGCGCTCCGGCCCCAGCACCCCGTGGCGATGCTCATGCTTCTTTGGCTGCGTTCCCTGTCCCTCTCCTTGTCGCTGTCGGACTGGCTCTGGGTGCGCTCGGGGCGGTGGCCGGTGCTGCTGCCGGTGGCCAAAGGCTGGGAGGAGATGGTCCGCAGCAGGTGATTCCTCTTGCGCAGGAACTCGGTCTGGCTGGGCAGCCCAAAGCTGCCTTTCCGCAGCGCCATGCGCGTGGTGTTCTTGGCGGGCCGCGAGCGGTGGTTGTACTCCAGCTGGGCCAGGTGGGCCGCGTACCCCTCCGTGATGAACTGTGAGACACGAGGGAGGAGGACAGGCGTGAGAGGGAGGAGGACAGGCATGAGAGGGAGGACAGGCAGGAGAATGATGGGATGCACTTCATAGGATCACAGAGTGGTTTGGGTTTGGAGGAACCTTAAAGCCCACCCAGTCCCACCCCCTGCCATGGGCAGGGACACCTTCCACTAGACCAGGTTGCTCCAAGCCTCATCCAGCCTGGCCTTGGACACTTCCAGGGATGGGGCATCCACAGCTCCTCTGGGCAACCTGTCCCAGTGCTCCCCACCCTCTCCGGGAAGAATTTCTTCCTGATCTCCAATCTCAATCTCCCTCTTCCAGTTTAAACCCGTCACCCCTTGTCCTGTCACTCCGGGCCCTTGGAAAAAGTCCCTCTCCAACATTTGGAATTCCCCAACAGTCACCGGCAGCCAAAGGCATTCGCTGTGCCATCTCTGGGGTGACACCCAAGACACGGAACCACCCAGACTTGTGTGATGGGTCCTGGTACGGGGGACTGTTCCCGTCCTCCTGGCAAACGCTAGCTTGCGACATCTGAAAGGTGACCAAATCCCTGTTGCCCTCTGGTGGCAGCCCCTCCTGGGCTCCAACAAGCTGGCCCCTACCTGGCACTGGCTCTGCAGCTTCTTGGTGGGTCGGCCGACGATGTAGATGTGCGTGGGCGGGAGGCTGATGGAGCTGTACACGGAGATGTCCTTGGTGGATCCGTATGCCGCGTGGATCCTCATGTGGAGCTGCAGGGAGAGAAAGCAACACGCGGTCAGGACATATGGGCTCCCCGTGCTGCTCAACAGGCAGGGCCTTTTTTTTTGGTTTAAAATAGCATTTGTGGGATTCTCAGGTCAGTAACTATGTAAGTTCCCAGCTGGATAACGCACCGCTGTGCAAAGCGCTAATTAACAGAGCTGTTTACAGCCCAGAACAAGAGGAGGAACAGCAACACGAAAGCAGATCTCCGCTGGCAGATCCACAGCCTTCCCTTGAGGTCTGTGGGGGGCAGAGGCGGGCACACTTCACTGTCTGCTTGTCACTGGGGACGAGGAGCCATTTGCAACCCCACATGCAGTAATCGTGAGTGGGGAGCGTTCCCCTCCACCAGCCATGCAGCCGCACGCAACAGTCACAGCATCATCAAACGGTTTGGGTGGGAAGGGACCTTAAAGCCCACCCAGCCCCAGCCCCACCCCCTGCCACAGGCAGCGGCGCCC